ACATAATTCCTGAAATACAGAAAAGTCCAATCAAGATAATGTACCAGATCCATTCCTGATATCATGTACATGATACACATACATCCATAAACATACTCATGCAATAAGTACACAAATGTAAAAAGGCTACACTTACCTCTCAGAATAGACATTGAACTATACATATTCATGACCATATACATATCATGCTATACAAAACTCATACATACAGTGATCCCAAAATACTAAACTAATATATGCTCCAGCTGAGTCCTCTAACTACCTTGCACAAGCCTTATGCCTTGGGAGGGCTCTCTTGTTGCTCAAGTACCTGAAACATGTCCCCAAACGGGATGAGATTAACCATCTCAGTAAACTCAGGGTTTATGGAGTAGTTTCCACTCCTGAGTTCGCCTCCTACATGAAAGGTCTAATACAAAACATATATACAAAACAACATGTCATCTTGCAAAATCATATGCACCTGCGAATTATAGGAGCTTGTGTCCTCCCAACAAAATAATCTAGGAGATTCTTCCCAAAACCTAAGTCCTCACGGAAAATTGTACAAAATAATCCAAAGGCTTGAGTCCCTAAGGATAAGATACCTTCGAGGCTTGTGTCCCTCATATGGAAAGTACCAAATACTTCCGATGCTTATGTCCCTCAATGAAAGTACACACTTGTAATTCAGATACTTCCGAGGCTTGATTCCCTCATATGGAAAGTATCATGCACTTTCGAGGCTTGTCTCCCTCAATGAAAGTACACACATGTAATTCAGATACTTCCGAGGCTTGAGTCCCTCACATCATCTTACATACTTGTCTACATGAATACACATAAGCTAAGTATCTAACACATCTAATCATACAAACATCCAAACCATCATCCTAATGGACCATTGTGGAACAAACAAAGTAGAACAAAACTCCTAAACCGAAATCTTACCTGTAAAAGCTTTCCATGCATGTAGCTTGAAATCCAAGAAACTTCTTACTTACTTGAACCACACTTGAATATCCCCATAAAATAGTTTGCACACCAATATCACTTATTTCACATAGGATATTGGAATCATTAATCAAATCATGCTTTACATATATTGACCCAATGGTCAAAACATCAACAAATCAAAATTCTATATACTTACCCTATTCTTGAATGAATAAGAGCTAGGGTTTTAAAGGCTTGCTTACTTGAAACTTAATCTTCCAAGACTAAATCACTTGATTCCATGCTAATACCATGAACAAAAGTACCATTAACCACCAAACACATAGTACTTGTAATTCAAGAAACTAACACTTTTACATGTTAATTTTGAAATTCATTATGGTGGTTCACATGATTTTTCCAACACATTTTCTTGCCAATTCATGCTATAACCAAGTCATTACTAAATTAACTCTCTTAATCAAGAAAGCTTACATTTGTAAACTCAATATGAATCCTTCACAAATTCAAGGTTTTTATACCTTAAAGTTACTTGACATGTACTTGATACTTGCTTTCAAACATTCAATTGAATTTAACAAACTTCCTATGTCTTTTTTCCATATAGTGACCAAACCTATAAGGGATTCATCATATACTATAAGGGATTCATCATGTTTTCAAGCTACTATTAACCAACAAATTAATTAACTTAATCATATATAATTCATGCTCAAGGATCATCTCCCAACATCAAAATCATATTAAGCTAACTTCCTACATGATTTTTCCTATGCATGGCCGAATGGATACATAATAAATTCATGGACTTAACATGCTTTCAAATAACTAGTCATACTCTAAATCAATCATATATCATTATTCAACCTCAAAACACACCATCAAAACATCATAGAACAACTTTCAACAATATTTCCACATATGGCCGAAATGATGAATAAAGCCGTTCATGAGCTTTACAAACTTGCAATGACTTCTACATTATTCCTTTATCTAAAAAAACCATCAAAGAACATATTCTAACATCAAAATACAACATATAACAATGATCCAACACATCCATGTTCAGCCCAAAGGTTGTGATCAGCTTCATACTGATTCTGCTGAACTTGAATATCCCGGTTGTGATATGATTCACCTCGATTAGGCTCCACATTTCTTATTCTTTCAGCATTCTGGTCGCAAACTACGACATTCGTAATTTGACCTGTATCAGCTTCATCTAACCTTCATTGCCTCTATCTTGAACTCGATTATTGGCAACCTTAACTGGGTTTTCATTATTATTAGCATTTTTGCCATGACGAACCTCTTTTTTCCTTTCTCTTCTTCTATCCTCTTCATCTCGGATTTGGCCTCCAGTGAGTTCTGGATTTCTTAATTGCAGAAAATGCTCCTCCATCTCTTGAAACCTTTGAACATCTTCCTACCTTTGAAGATTACTATGATGTTCCATCTCTTCCATCCGCCTTAAGGTCACATTGAAAACGGTCTGTGCAAGGCGAGAGCATCTGAATCTGCAGGTTGAGGCTGAAGAGGCGCTATTTGATTCTAAGGATTACCTTATTGGGCTTAATACTATAGGGTCACATATATGAGTCCATAACATATACTTATTTTGTTAGATCAAAATGGTTTTTTCTTCACCAAACATCATTGACACAAGTCGTAAGGAGTTTGTGTCCCTTAAATAGAAGTCTTGAGTTTCAGCTCTGAGAATGAAAAAAAGTAGTCTTGAGAGAGCCATTCCCCTGTGCTCGAATCAGACTAGTCCGAAGAATAAACCGGTTGAGGAAACTAAAATATAGTTTTTCTTCGAATTACGAACCAAATAATATATTTTAACTAATTTGAATAAAAAAAGCAAACATAATAACTTGTTGGTAGGGGTGAAACTGGGCCGGACTGGCCTACAGGGGCCTACGACTCGCCCTACAACAGATCAGACCTGACCTAGTATATTTCGTAAAATAGGCCGGGCTTGGGCCTTGGAAAAACTTGTTTAATTAAAAGGCCGTAGGCCCATTTTCACAAGGCATGGCCTATAAGCCGGCCTATATTGTATTATTTATTTTAAATAAAATAAAATAGAATAAGTATGTCTTGAAGAAAAAACAAAAGATATAAATTTAATCAATTGCAATTATTTATAACTTAATTATATTCGATTATACTTTAATAGAAATCTGACTTTATTTCTTATGTAGGAGGAACCAACATCTCTGCATGTTAGATTATGTATATGAATATATTAAAAAGTTTTTGAGAGAGGTTATATTTACTACAAGCATCATGATGCGTTTGTTGGATTCATGTAGTTATTTTAATTTACATAGTATGAATTTGTTTATTGAATATGATGAAATTATGTTATTTAATTTGAGCATTTTGCTTTCGAAAGTGACTTAAATGCAGATTGTATGAGTCTTGTTGTGATTCATGATTCTGTTTGGACATTGAAATTATAATTTTTGGTTTAGCAACAGAATTTGAGTATTTTATAAAGTTGATTCATGATTTTGTTTGAAAGTTAAAAATTAACAGGCTAATGGGCTAGGCCAGACCATTTATTTTTTTATAAACGGGTCAAACCAGACTAACAGTTGGAATCGTACTAGGCTTGGCCAGACTAAATTGAAATTTTTTGACGTAGGCTTGGACTTTTCGGGACAAAGCTTGGCCTAGCTCAGCCCACTTTTATCCCTAGTTGTTGGGGGGAAGTGTGTATAATTTTGAAGGACACAAAGTTGTATAATTTTAAGTGAGAAAAAGAGATAAATTATGGAAAAGAGAATAAGTGAATTTTTTTAAAAAAATGTGAATCTCACCTCTTTATAAGAGTGAAAGGATATAAAGTGTGTCATTTAAAATGACACACCTTTTTTCCTAAGTTGTTAATCTTAAATGAACCTGCAGAAGACAAACAAAACGTCAAGAGGAGAAGAGGTGAGTAAGGGTGAAAATGGGCTGGGCTGGGCCAAACTTTGCTCCGAAAAGCCCAAGCCTACGTCAAAAAATTTCAATTTGGCCTAGCTCAAGTCTAGTATGAGTCTAACTGTTAGCCTGACTTGGCCCGTTTATAAAAAAACAAATGGCCTGGCTTGGCCCGTTAGCCTTTTAATTTTTAACTTCCAAGCAGAACCATGAATCAACTTTACAAAGTACTCAAATTTTGTTGCTACACCAAAAATCATAATTTCAACGTCCAAACAGAATCATGAATTATAACAAAACTCATACAATATGCATTTAACTCATTTTTAAAAGCAAAATGCTCAAACTAAATAACATATATTTCATCAGATCCAACAAACAAATCCATACTATGTAAATTAAAATAACTACATGAATTCAACAAACACATCATGATGCTTGTAGTAAGTATAACCTTTCCCAAAAATCTTTTAATATTTTCATATACACAATCTAACATGTTGAGATGTTGGTTCCTCCTATATAAGAAATAAAGTAAGATTTCTATTAAAATATAATCGAATATAATTAAGTTATAAATAATTGTAATTGATTAAATTTATATCTTTTGTTTTTTCTTCAATGCATACTTACTCTATTTTATTTTATTTAAAATAAATAGTACAATATGGACTGACATGTAGGCTTATAGGCTCGACCTTTTGAAAGTGGGCATACAGTCTTTTTATTAAACAAACTTTTTAAAGCCCAAACCCGATCCATTATACAAAATATACTAAGTCATATCTAACCTGATATAGGTTGAGCCATAGGCCTCTGTAAGCCAGCCCGACCAAGTTTTTTTAGTGGTGTGGACCACATTGGGATTTCGGATCTGCTAGTAATCGAATCGTGGTATCAGTTCCTCGTCAACGACACGTGGCATTAACACATCCATTAGATCCAACGGTCAATATTATCCTGCGCACCATCTGAGTACGACTTATAATGACATCATCTAACTTAAAATACGTTAAATAATATTACAAAAAAATAAAATAAAATAAAATACGTTAAATAAAGTAAATAAATAATAAGAGTAAACGCTTAAAATACCCGAAGAGCAAGGTGAGTGTTTTATTATACGGAAGAAGGAGAAAAAGAACAACGACGATACGAAGAACACAACACAGAGCTTCGGGCATTTTGGTCTTTGGAGTATCAACACAGCCGTAGAGGTTTTAATCTGTAAAAATTGGAACGCTCGCCCTTGCATTTTTCTTCTTCTTCTTGTGCTAGAATCAATCCTTGCAATTTGATGCTCCTTTTCTTTCCTTTTAATTTCAAAATTAATTTTTAGCTGGAGATATTTGTTTTCTATTTATGAATTGTGGGTGATGATTTGTATATTCTGGATATATTGGTTTTATTTTTAGCTATGATTCTCATCAATATAATCGTTGTAGAGATTTACTGTCAAATTTTATTATTATTATTTTTTTCCTGTGGATGTCCTGGCGCTTCTCTGGCGGTGTTTTCAGGGCCTTGTTTGAACAATGTTGAACTAGTTCTGACATTGTGGTTAACACATAGATACGTAGATACTTACATTAATGTGGATTCTTTTTGTTTGATATGAGAGATTTATTTTAAAATCCCTGGAACCATTGGGACTGTCTTCATTGGAAAAAATTTAAGCACAGACTAAGGACCGGTTATTTATCTCACGTTAGTTTTTTTCTTAAACAAAATTTCTCTGAAATATTTGCTTTATTTTCTAGCAATCCTAATGACCTGAGATAGTCAACCTACCCAATGTCTCAGGTACTTTTCACTCCAGTTTTCCCAAACACCATGATATCTGCATTTCTTGAGTTGCTTTAGTTTTATTTCACTGGTTTTAGAAATAAACTTCACTGTCTCCCTCCTTCCTTTTCTATTTATTTATTTATTTATTTTTTAACATGTAAGATAACTCCTTTAAGCTCTCATATGTTGCATACATATTTTGGTTTTTGAAGTTGATACTCATTGTTATTGTAATTTTAACATTCTAGAAATCTGGATAATGCGACCAGTCTTGTATTTGGTTCAAGATGTTTGGTTTCCATATGGTGCTTACCTTTATTTCTTGAAATACAGCTTCTTCTTTGAATTAAGATACATAAGTATGGAGTTCCTAAATGGTTTCATGATTTTAAATATGAAGAAAACAGTGAAGAAATGGAAATACATAGTTTTACATGTACTGACAACTTTGGATAAATTATTTTGTAGGTCGTTATAGCTAAGTTTTTAAACAGGCCCCTATAGTTTAAATTTTTTTATGGGGACCCTATACTCTTAATTTTTTTTTATAGGTTCCTAGTAGGTTCCTAGTTTAACTAAGTTTTTAATTATGTCGTGCTAATTATAAGATTTTATAATTAAGTCCCTAAAATTTAGTTATCAATGGCAGGTAGTGGCCGACCCCAAATTTACTATAGTGGTATAGCTACTACAACGAAGTCCACATAAATGTCATACCAAATTATTCTACACACATGTAAAAGTTCAAATATAAAATATTCAAACATCAAGGCTGGAGCATAAATTCATTGAAATGCAAATACTGTCACATAGGTGTTAAAATACTAACAAAATTCAGGGAATATAATGTTGAGTCAAATACAAATTTCGGCTATTGTGGCTGCTACTACTATTACCCTAAATTGTAGCGTAGCGTTGAGTTTTTAGCGGGCAAGGTGTGCTATGCAATTCTATTCCACTATAGCTTCATTATTTTCAACCTAGCTAGTAACAGCATCACAAGTTTGCAGATGATTGTAAATGTTAATCGATGGAGTGTAACAGGGACTTATTTAAAAGTTTTTATAAGTATAGGCATCCTTTAAAAACTTTTGAACTATAGGGACCTAGAGAGTCATTTAACCAACAATTTTTAAGTCAACTTGGGTAATTTCAAAACTGACCGTGTACTCTTGGTAGAGTTCCCGGATCTTCTTTGACTCTTGGCATTTTATCGTTACGGGTCTGGTCCACTTAACTGAATTTTAGTTATTGATTCCAAATTGTCAATGTTTGGTTATTGCAGCTCTAAGACTGCTCAATCGGTGTTTTGTTTAGTGGCAAACATGAGCTTTGCTGCACCATCACTTGGTTCTGCTGGTAAGTTTTTCTCAGTAGTCAACACCTCCATCTGGCTTTTTGCTGTGACTTGAGGGTGTAATTTATCCACTGGGGAGTTCTCTAGTCAGTATCTTGGATTGCTTTGTGTGGTTGACTGGTATTAACTACCATGGAGTTATTGGAAGGAAAACCAATTTACCATTTTTCTTATATTTTTGTTATCACCCAACCATTTACTTTAATATATCCCCATTTCAGGTGGTAGATCTGCTAGAAGAGCATTTGAGTTTGGAAGAACCTATGTTGTCAGGCCTAAAGGTAAACACCAAGCAACTATAGTTTGGTTGCATGGCCTCGGGGATAACGGCTCCAGGTGATATGAAATTTCCTATTGCTCTTTCCCAAATTCATATGACTGAAAATTCATTCATGGTTGGGAGATATGTTTTAATGCCCTTTTATTTTTCATGCTTTATTAATAATTGCTTTTGTCACCTCGATAGTTATGAATTGAAGGTATGATGTCATAAATTTTGGTGTTTTTACTTTTTAACTGTGTTTGCTAGCTCAGTAGCATTTTCAATTTTTTAACCCCTTTCATTGAGGGTGAGTTTTGGAACAGTGGTGAGATCACTCCTTGTGACTGGAAGGTCACGGGTTTGAGTCTAGGAAACAACTTCTTTGCAAAAAAATGCAAAGATAATTTTATTCCTGTCAATTTGCTTGGATGAGTTTCTGAAAGTATCTTTAAAGCTAATTTTAATATAATGGTAAGGAAAGTGAGATATTTGTTTTTACATTTCAGTAGTTTTGACTTTTTTACATTATATAATTCCATTTTCCCTATCTCTTAATATATCAGTGAAGTAACAGTTTGATCATTTTTAATTATCTTGTTTACTGCTGATGTTGTTTGGTGACCCTTTTGGATAATTTATTATTGCTTGTAATTTGATTTTATTTAACTTTCTTGGAGCCAAAATGGACCAGTTAATTCCAGAGGATAAACCAATCAGGCTCAAATATTTGTCTGATCTGTCTTCTGTATCCCGTCACTTGTTTTTAATTTTGACAAAAACAAGAGTTCTATTTTGGTTTTCTTTGGGTTTTTGATATTAAATTTGTGATTTATCCAATCAATAGTAATAGATTGTGATAAAACCCTTTCAAGTTCAAACAATTCAACTCACAATAACACAGAAATTGGAAAATAAATGCTGGAATCTTGTATTTCAACGACTGAAAATTACAAGATACGGTTCAAGCTTAAAGAAACAGAATTGCAATGATGGAAATGTCTACAATCTCTGTGAAATCTGTATAGCAGAAAAGGAAAAATAACAGCAAAAAGGGAAATGATAGTTTAGAGCAATTAGAGAGGCTCTACTCTCTCCCAAGGTCCCAATTCCAGTTCAGATTTTCCAATGCCCCACTCTCCTCCCCTTCACACCACTTTTAACCAACTTCAGCCACCTATGCATTCTGTTGGGGGTCACTTTGGGAATCCTCTGCTAATTCAGCAATGGGCCTGGCCCAAATCCTCCTCTTTTTATCCCTCTTGTACACTTTCATATGCTGGTCCGTATCAGATTGTTTATAGCTTTTTTGTCAATAGATATTTAGACTTGTAAAGGTGTTTGTGACTGCCTAGAGATTCCTACCCTAGTTAAGTTGATACACGCAATTACTCCACGTGTATTCAAGGCGAACAAATCGCAATATTGCTAATAGTGGCTGCCGGAGATTCTTTCTATTATGGGATTTGGGCTGATTTTATTTTATTGTTATTGCTAGCTAGGAGGATCTGCAAATTAATTGCTCATTTTCGAATTTGAATTGTTGTCATTTTATTTACTTTCCGTGTTTTTTTTTTTGGTAAGTTGACTTGGGCTTTTTAAGGCCAGCAGACCAAAGAATGAAAACAGCAAAGAAATTATCTTTTTCTTTCTCTTTCTGTCTCTATGCCCTCCCCTCTCTCTCTCTCTCTCACTTGCACTCCTTCTCTTACTTTCTCTCTCTCAATCTTTGCCTTAACATAAGTGGTGGAACTTTGGTAGGACATTTAATTTTAGTTAGCATCATTTGCATTCTTATATTCAGCATGAGTGTTGAGCCTATGCTCCAAGAACACAATATAATGAAGTTTATACTTGCATACTTAATACTCTGAATAATTAATAGCATGAAGTCAGGAACTGGCTTTACTTCCAAAAGTAAATAGTTCTTGGGACTTTGATAATGAATAGTTATCGAAGTATTTTATTCAGTCTAGGTATTTAGATTTATTAATTGTGAGTGCATAATGTTTCTTGGTCCAATTAAGTACGTGGAAATTTGTCAACAGCTGTTGAATCCCTTATAAATACGGGTGTTCAACCTAATTCCTAGAACAAAAGTTATGAGATTTGTTAGAATATATTAGATATGATTGGATTACTTCCTATCTGTAAATATTCTGTTTGGATTAGGTCTGGGCCTTTCACTTAAGCCCATTAGGGTCTCTATATATTGTAACTCTCTGAATTAGATCAATACACAACATATTATTTTATATTCAAGTCGGTACTAGAGCTCTTTTGTTCTGGGGACTCTCGCTTCCGCTTAAAACCTTGTTTTCGCTTTAAAACCTAAGCCCACTGCTTAGGAGTCCTCTTTTCTTTGTCGTGCGTCCTTCTGGCAAGCCATCAAGGGCTGTAAACCCTTTCTGAGTTATTCCCGAACGCGTCATCACCTTCGACGGCCACCGGAACCACCGTCCGTCACTGTTCAGGCCGCCGGAGAAGTTTTCTGGCGAGTTTTCAGCCCGGACCATACGCGATCAGAACCCTCTCCTCCTGGCGACCAAGTCTGTGGAAGTCCGGCCACCATCGAAGCTCTCGCGCGCCACCCATCTCCTCTGCGTGTGGTGCTCACACGCCACCTTCTGCCGGCGCATGTGCACTATTTCGGCAGCTTTTTCCGGTCGGTCTTGGACAGAGAAGCTCGCCTTCTTCTCCTCTTTCCAGATCTGTGGTTGGTTCTCTGTGGGTCTGACTTTTTGTGCGCACCTCTTCTTGATCGGTGATCAGGTGGAACGTCTTTTTATGGTTGCCACACTGTCTGGTCTCCCCGAAGAATATGATAATGTCTGGGATACTATCTTGACTAGTGGGGATCCTGATTTATCAATGACGTATCAGCATCTTCTGAATCTTAATAAGAAATCTGCTCCTGCATTGTCTGCTGTTGTTGATTCCACTGCTCTAGTTTCTCGTACTGACTTTCGCGGGAACATTGGAGGTGGACGTTTGTCTGCTGCTGTTGATTCCACTGCTCTAGTTTCCCGTACTGACTTTTGTGGGAACATTGGAGGTGGATGTGGTCGTGGTAGAGGCCAGGGAGGACGTGGCCCAGGAGGACGTGGTCAGCGACCTCGTTGTCATTATTGTCAGCAACTTGGTCATTATGAGGAACATTGCTACACAAAGTATCCTCACCTGCGACTTTCTTATGCTGCTAATATAGCTCAATCGGATACTGCTTCAAATGGTACAGTCTCTCTCTCCTCTGTAGACTATGCAGCACTCCAGACCCTTCTCAGGAAGGCCTCTCCTCAGTCTCAGGCCTCTGCTTCAGAAACTGGTAATCCCGTTGCTTGTGTTTCTCATTCTGCATCACTTGGCCCTTGGATATTTGACTCAGGTGCTACTGATCACCTCTGTGGTAATAAGGAACTCTTTTCATCCCTCACATTCTGATAATTTACCCTCTTTTACTCTTGCTGATGGCACTAAGGCCCGATTGGACAAATCTGTCCAACCTCCTCATTGACCTTGACATCTGTCTATTACATTCCTAAATCCCTTATAATTTAATATTTGTTAGTAAATTGATCAATTCTCTTAACTGTATTGTCACCTTCTCAAACCATTCTGTTTCTGTGCAGGACCCGGGTACGGGGAAGACGATTGGAGTAGGCCGTGAGTCACGGGGTCTATTCTACCTGGTTGTGCCAAGTCCTTCAGTTGCTTGTTCTCTCACAGAATCTCCACAACTCATCCACAGTTGTCTTGGGCATCCTAGTCTTTCAAAATTACAGAAGATGGTTCCTCTTTTATCCGGTCTTCAGACTTTAGATTGTCAGTCATGTTAGCAAGGAAAGCACATATGCTCCTTCTTTGCTAATCGAGTCAATAAACGAGCTGATGCTCCTTTTTCAATTATTCATTCAGATATTTGGGGTCCTAGTCATAATGTGTCTGTTTTAGGTTTTCGGTATTTTGTTACCTTTATTGATGATTTTTCCCGTTGTACTTGGATTTATTTAATGAAAAACTGTTCTGAGTTATTTTCTATTTATCAAAAATTCTCTGCTGAAATTCATGCTCAATTTGGTGCTTCTATTCGTATTTTACGTAGTGATAATGCTAAGGAATATGTTTCTGTTGACTTTTCTAATTTCTTAGCCACATAGGGTACTTTACACCAAACTACTTGTCCTCACACTCCACATCAAAATGGAGTAGCTGAACGTAAGAATAGACATCTCATTGAGATTGCACAGACTCTTCTTATTCACATGCATGTTCCTCTTCACTTCTGGGCCGATGTAGTCCTTGCTTCTTGTTTTCTCATCAACCGTATGCCTTCATCTGTGCTTAATAATGACATTCCTTATAACTTATTGTTTTCAGATGTTCCTCTCTATCCTCTATCCCCACATGTCTTTGGTTGTACCTGTTTTGTTCATGATCTCACTCCTGGTAAGGACAAGTTAACATCCAAAGCTTTTAAATGCATTTTTCTTGGTTATTCTCGTCTTCAAAAGGGTTATCATTGCTACTCTCCCGATCTCAAGCGTTACTTAGTTTCCGCTGATGTCACCTTTCTTGATTAACAACCCTTTAATTTTATCCCATCTCAATTGTCACAGGTTGATCATGTTCTTCCTGTTCCTTTTCTTGACTTGTCTTTGCCAGCTGCAGGTGCTTCTATTTCAGATGAGCAACCTATTGCTTCAGTACCTGAGGACCGTCCATTTCTCACTTATCAGCGTCGTAAAACTGTGCCTCCTGTCGACTTGACTCCTGCTAACTCATCGCACCCTGCTGTTGATTCTTCCCCTCCGAATCCTTCACCAGCGGCTCTTCCTATTGCTCAAAGAAAAGGTACACGTACTACTCGTAACCCTTATCCTCTTTATACCTTCTTGAGCTATTATCGTCTTTCTCCTCCTCATTTCACCTTTGTTTCTAGTCTTTCTTCTGTTTCTATTCCTAAGACCACAGGTGAAGCACTTTCCCATCCAGGGTGGCGCCAAGCGATGCTTGATGATATGACCGCATTTCATACCAATGGCACTTGGGACCTTGTTTCTGCTCCTCCAGAGAAGTCTATAGTTGGTTGTCGCTGGGTTTTTACTTTGAAAGTTGGACCTGATGGCCATGTTGATCGTCTCAAGGCACGTTTAGTTGCAAAGGATTTTACTCAAATCTTCGGCCTTGATTATAGCGATCCATTCTCTCCGGTCGCTAAGATGGCGTCAGTTCGCTTATTTCTTGCCCTTGCTGCTGTTCGTCACTGGCCACTCCTTCAACTTGACATCAAAAATGCCTTTCTTCATGGTGATTTACAAGAAGTTTACATGGAGCAACCACCTGGTTTTGTTGCTCAGGGAGAGTCTGGGAAGGTGTGTCGTCTTCGAAAATCCATATATGGTCTCAAGCAGTCTCCTCGAGCATGGTTCAGTCGCTTCATTTCTGCTGTTTAGGCGTTTGGCTTAATCCGCAGTAAAGTTGACCATTCTGTATTTTATAGGATCACATCTGATAAGTGCATATATTTGTTAGTCTATGTTGATGACATCATTCTCACCGGAAGTGATCAAGACAAAATTCGTCAGTTAAAACAACATTTATTCAGTGCATTTCAAACAAAGGACCTTGGGAAGCTGTGTTACTTCTTGGGAATTGAGGTGGCGCAATCTAGACAGGGCATTTCTATCTGTCAAAGGAAGTATGCCTTGGATATCCTAGAAGAGATCGGTATGTTGGGTGTAAACCAGTTGATACACCCACGGATCCCAATGTCAAGTTATTGTCCGGACAGGGGGAGCCTTTTATCTGATCCTGGACGTTATGGAGGCTAATTGGGAAGCTCAATTATCTTACTGTGACTAGGCCAGACATTTCTTTCGCTGTTAGTACGGCTAGTCAGTTCCTTGATTTCCCTTGTGACTCTCATTGGGATGCTGCTGTGAGGATCCTCCGATACATCAAAGGAGCACCAGGAAAAAGGTTTGTTGTTGTATTCGGATCAGGGAAATACAGAAATTTGTGGTTATTCAGATGCTGATTGGGCAGGATCACCCTCGGACAGGCGTTCTACTTCCGGCTATTGTGTCTTCTTTGGAGGAAACTTAATTTCTTGGAAGAGCAAGAAACAACCTGTTGTTGCTCGATCTAGTGCAGAAGATGAGTATCGTGCAATGGCAAATACTACCTGTGAGTTAATCTGGTTAAAGCAGTTGATTTAGGAGCTTCATCTTTGTGAACAGAAACAACCCATGACACTCATTTGTGATAATCAAGTTGCGCTACATATATCCTCTAATCCTTTATTTCATGAGAACCGAACATATAGAGATTGATTGTCATTTCATTCGAGAAAAGATTCATTCAGGAGAAATCAAGACAGCTTTTGTCAACTCTTCTGATCAATTAGCGGATGTCTTCACTAAAGCTCTTAGAGGTCCTCGGGTTGAATACATTTGTAGCAAGCTTGGTGCTCACAATATATACGCACCAGCTTGAGGGGGAGTGTTAGAATATATTAGATATGATTGGATTACTTCCTATCTGTAAATATTCTGTTTGGATTAGGTCTTGGCCTTTCACTTAAGCCCATTAGGGTCTCTATATATTGTAACTCTCTGAATTAGATCAATACACAACATATTATTTTATATTCAAGTAGATTGATCCTTGCATGCATGAGCTATATCTGCCACCAAAATTCTCAAATCAACAGAATTCAAGTGGCTCACTCCTGATTAACTTTATTGATATTTATAATTTTTTAAAACACTCGAGATTAAATAATTGTATATTACAACTGGACAAGAGTTCTCTATTAAAGAGACTAAATGACTTAATGGGCTAAGCTCACATGTGAGACTATTTCTATTATATACACTGAATTATTCTAACACTCCCCTTCAAGCTGATGTGTATATATTGTAAGCACTCAGCTTGTTACAACAAGTTGTATTCAACTCGAGGACCTCTAAGAGCATTTTAGTGAAGACATCCGCAAGTTGATCATTGGAGTTGACAAATGTCGTTTTGATTTCTCCAAATTGAATCTTTTCTCGAATGAAGTGACAATCGATCTTTATGTGTTTGGTTCTCTCATGAAATATATGATTAGATGATATATGTAACGCAACTTGATTGTCCCAAATGAGTGTCATTGGCTCTTTCTATTCACAAAGATGGAGTTCGATCAACTGCTTTAACCAGATTAGCTCGCAGGTAGCAACTCTCATTGCAGATACTCGACCTCTGCACTAGATCGGGCAACAACAGTTTGTTTCTTACTGTTAGAATATTAGATATGATATGATTAGATATGATTGGATTCTGTCTTATCCGTAAATAGTCTGACTGTATTCTGACTGTATTAGGATTAGGTTTGGGCCTTACACTTAAGCAGTTAAGCCCATTAGGGTCTCTATATATTGTAACTCCCTGACACAGATCAATACACAACGTATTCTTTTACATTTAACTTGGTATCAGAGCCTGGTTCGATCCAGGGACCTGTGGGTTATGGGCCCACCACGCTTCCGCTGCACTTGGAATTGTGTGAATGAGAGTGAGGTCGCTTTAGCTGGAGTCTGGGCCATCGTATTAGGGTTTGCACTTGCAGAGATGCAACCTGCCTCCGTTACCGAGGAAATTATCAATATCCTTAGTTTAGTGCGATAACTCGCGAAATCGAAAATTATCGTCATTATCGTGCGATTCGGAGTTACCATAGTAGTATGGGTGAGTTTACAATTCAGATAGGCAATGACCTTGTTAATCAGCTTGTTGATGATGCGGTCGTAAAGAAGAAAACTAGAAGGATTAGACGTAAGGGGCCAAGAGGGACTGATAAGCCCCAATCAAATTTAACTGGAAAGCCCGAGAGTGCAGCTGCTCCAGGGTGGCCAGTGCAGCCCCCTCTGTTTCTACCTGCAACATTACCTGTACAACCTGCCCATTCAGAGTTAGAAGGCATTCAGTCTGTGCTTCAGGAAAGTGAGAAGGTTTTGGAAAGATTGCAGAAGCAGGAGGAGAACATGTTGCAGGAAGTAACCAAAAGGCAAAGGATCTCCATGATAAAGAGTATAAGCTTCCAAACCCAAAGCCTGAGCCTTGCATGGCTGAGAAGCTTGCTTCCTTAGCATGTTACAAGGAACATATCAAGGACCCTTTGAAGTGTGCTAATCTTGTTACCAGTTTTGCAGATTGCTTGCGAAGGTTTGGGCCTTACACTTAAGCAGTTAAGCCCATTAGGGTCTCTATATATTGTAACTCCCTGACACAGATCAATACACAACGTATTCTTTTACATTTAACTTGGTATCAGAGCTCTTTCGTTCTAGGAACCCTCGCTTCCGCTCAGAAACCTTGTTTTTTGCTTTAAAAACCTAAGCCCACTGCTTAGGAGTCCTCTTTCTTGCCGTGCGTCCTTCTGGCAAGCCTTCTAGGGCTGTAAACAGCCTCTGAGTGATTTTTCCAAACGCGTCAGCACCTCCGACGGCCACCGGAACCACCGCCCGCCGTCAGAATCACTGTTCAGGCAACCGGAGACTTTTTCCGGCGACTTTTCCGACCAAACTTCACGCGATCAGGACCCTCTCTTCCCGGCGACCAGGTCTGTGGTGGTCCGGTCAGCAACGCATCTCCCACGCGCCGTCACGCGCCACCTGTCTTCAATGCGCGTGGGCTTCACGCGCCACCTTCTGCCGGCGCGTGAGCACTATTCCGGCGGCTTTTTCCGGCCGGTCTTGGACAGAGAAGCTCTTCTTCTCCTCCCCTTTCTGGATCTGTGATTGTTTCTCCGTGGGTCTGACCTTAGACGCGTGGTTCTTCTTGATTGGATATCGTTTGCCTTCGTTTACGGCTTTTATATTTTATCTTTAAATGGCAGCAGCATCTCCTGATCTCTCGGAGGTTAACTCTCCTTCTATTGTTGCAAATATAGCTCAGTCAGACAATGCATCATTTGGTTCAGGTTCGGACTATGCCGCACTCCAAACCCCTCTCAGGAAGGCTTCTCCTCAGTCTCAGCCTTATACTGGTAATCCCGTTGCTTGTGTTTCTCATTCTACATCACTTGGCACTTGGATATTTGACTCCGGTGCTACCGATCATCTCTGTGGTAATAAGGAACTCTTTACATCTCTTACTTATTCTGATCATTTACCGTCTTTTACCCTTGCGGATGGAACCAAAGCCCCAGTTCGTGGGATTGGACAAGCTCGTCCGACCTCTACCTTGGCCCTGACATCTGTCTATTACATTCCTGGCATCCCTTATAACTTAATTTCTATTAGTAAGTTAATCCACTCCCTCACTTGCACCATTACTTTCTCTAACCATTCTGTTTCTGTGCAGGATCCGGGTACGGGAAAAATGATTGGAGTGGGTCGTGAGTCACGGGGGCTTTATTATCTGGATGTGCCTCGTCCTTCAGTAGCATGCTCTCTCACAGAATCTCCACAACTTATCCACAGTCGCCTTGGTCATCCAAGTCTTTCAAAGTTGCAGAAAATGGTTCCTCTTTTGTCCGGTCTTCAGTCTTTAGATTGTGTCTCATGTCAACAAGGGAAGCATACACGCTCCTCTTTTGCCAGTCGAGTCAATAAACGAGCTGATGCCCCTTTCTCTCTTGTTCATTCAGATATCTGGGGTCCAAGTCGTACCTTGTCTGTCTTAGGTTTTCGGTATTTTGTTACCTTTATTGATGATTTTTCCCGTTGCACTTGGACCTATTTAATGAAAAATCGTTCTGAGTTATTTTCCATTTATAAAAAGTTTTCTACTGAGATCCATACTCAATTTGGTGTTTCTATTCGTATTCTACGTAGTGATAATGCTAAGGAATATGTTTCTATTGATTTTTCTAATTTCTTGGCCACACAAGGTACTTTACATCAAACTACTTGTCCTCACACTCCACAACAAAATGGGGTGGCTGAACGTAAAAACAGACATCTCATTGAAACTGCCCGTACCCTTCTTATTCATATGCAGGTTCCCCTTCACTTCTGGGCAGGTGCTGTACTCATCTCTTGTTTTCTCATCAATCGCATGCCTTCATCTGTGCTCCACAATGACATTCCTCATAATCTATTGCTTCCAGATGTTCCTCTTTATCCTCTAACTCCACATGTCTTTGGTTGTACTTGTTTTGTTCATGATCTCACTCCTGGTAAGGATAAGTTAACATCCAAAGCCTTTCAGTGTATCTTTCTTGGTTATTCTCGTCTTCAAAAGGGTTATCGTTGTTATTCTCCCGACCTTAAGCGTTACTTAGTTTCCGCTGATGTCACTTTTCTTGATCAACAACCCTTTAATTCTATCCCATCTCAGATGTCACAGGTTGATCATGTACTTCCTGTCCCTTTTCTTGACTTGTCTTTGCCAGCTGTAGGTGCTCCTATTCCAGATGAGCAACCTATTGCTTCTATACCTGAAGACCGTCCATTTCTCACCTATCAGCGTCACAAAACTGTGCCTCCTGTCGACTCGACTGTTGCTGACTCATCGCCCACTGCTGTTGCTTCTTCCCCTCCGAATCCTTCATCAGAGACTCTTCCCATTGCTCAAAGAAAAGGTACACGTACTACTCGTAACCCTTATCCTCTTTATACCTTTTTGAGTTATGACCGTCTTTCTTCACCTCATTTCACCTTTGTTTCTAGTCTTTCTTCTATTTCTATTCCTAAGACCACAGGTGAAGCACTTTCCCATCCAGGGTGGCGCCAAGCAATGCTTGATGAGATGACTGCACTTCATTCCAATGGCACTTGGGACCTTGTTTCTGCTCCTCCAGAGAAGTCTATAGTTTGTTGTCGCTGGGTTTTTACTGTGAAAGTTGGACCTGATGGCCATATTGATCGTCTCAAGGCACGTTTAGTTGCCAAGGGTTTTACTCAAATCTTTGGCTTGATTATAGCGATACATTTTCTCCGGTCGCTAAGATGGCGTCAGTCCGCCTCTTTCTTGCCCTTGCTGCTGTTCGTCACTGGCCACTCCTTCAACTTGACATCAAAAATGCCTTTCTTCATGGTGATTTACAAGAAGAAGTTTACATGGAGCAACCACCTGGTTTTGTTGCTCAGGGGGAGTCTGGAAAGGTGTGTCGTCTTCGGAAATCCTTATATGGTCTCAAGCAGTCTCCTCGAGCATGGTTCAGTCGCTTCAGTTCTGCTGTTCAGGCGTTTGGCTTAATCCGCAGTAAAGTTGACCATTCTGTGTTTTATAGGATTACATCTCCTGATAAGTGTATCTATTTGTTAGTCTATGTTGACGACATCATTTTCACCGGAAGTGATCAAGACGGAATTCGTCAGTTAAAACAGCATTTGTTTAGTACATTTCAAACAAAGGACCTTGGGAAGCTGCGTTACTTCTTGGGAATTGAGGTGGCGCAATCCAGACAGGGCATTTCTATCTGTCAAAGGAAATATGCCTTGGATATCCTAGAAGAAACTGGTATGTTGGGGAGTAAACCAGTTGATACACCTATGGATCCTAATGTCAAGTTATTACCCGGACAGGGGGAGCCGTTATCTGATCCTGGACGTTATCGGAGGCTAATTGGGAAGCTCAACTATCTTACTGTGACTAGGCCAGATATTTCTTTCGTTGTTAGTACGGCTAGTCAGTTTCTTGATTCCCCTTGTGATTCACATTGGGATGCTGCTATGAGGATCCTCCGATACATCAAAGGAGCACCAGGAAAAGGTTTGTTGTATTCAGATCAGGGAAATACAGAAATTTGTGGTTATTCAGATGCTGATTGGGCAGGATCACCCTCGGACAGGCGTTCTACTTCTGGCTATTGTGTCTTCTTTGGAGGAAACTTAATTTCGTGGAAGAGCAAGAAACAACCTGTTGTTGCTCGATCTAGTGCAGAAGCTGAGTATCGTGCAATGGCAAATGCTACCTGTGAGTTAGTCTGGTTAAAGCAGTTGATTCAGGAGCTTCATCTTTGTGAACAGAAACAACCCATGACACTCATCTGTGATAATCAAGCTGCGCTACATATATCCTCTAATCCTGTCTTTCTTGAGAGGACCAAACATATAGAGATTGATTGTCACTTCATTCGAGAAAAGATTCAGTCAGGAGAAATCAAGACTGCTTTCGTCAACTCCTCTGATCAACTAGCGGATGTTTTCACTAAAGCTCTTAGAGGTCATCGGGTTGAATACATTTGTAACAAGCTTGGTGCTCATAATATATACGCACCAGCTTGAGGGGGAGTGTTAGAATATTAAATATGATATGATTAGATATGATTGGATTCTGTCTTATCCGTAAATAGTCTGACTGTATTCTGACTGTATTAGGATTAGGTTTGGGCCTTACACTTAAGCAGTTAAGCCCATTAGGGTCTCTATATATTGTAACTCCCTGACACAGATCAATACACAACGTATTCTTTTACATTTAACTCTTACTTTTCCAAAAAATCAGGTTTCCTCCAAAGAAGACACAATAGCCTGAAGTATAGCGCCTATCCGAGGGTGATCCTGCCCAATCAGTATCTGAATAACCACAAATTTCTGTATTTCCCTGATCTGAATATAATAAGCCTTTCCCTGGTGCTCCTTTGATGTACTGGAGGATCCTCACAGCAACTTCCCAATGAGAATCACAAGGAGTCAAGGAATTGATTAGTCATACTAACAACAAAAGAAATGTCAGGCCTAGTCACAGTGAGATAATTGAGCTTCCTAATCAACCTTTGATAACGTCCAGGATTAGATAATGGCTCTTCCTGTCTGGGCAATAATTTGATAGTCGGATTCGTGGGTGTATCAACTGGCTTACACCCCAACATACCAGTCTCCTCTAGGATATCTAAGGCATATTCCTTTGACAGATAAAAATACCCTATCTTACCAAGATTCTTTGTTTGAAATTGACTAAACAACTATTGTTTTAACTGGCGAATCCCAGCGTGATCACTCCCAATGATAATAGTGTCATCGACATAGACTAACATATATATGCACTTATCAGGAGATTTGAACCTATAAACATAGAATGATCGACCTTATTGCGGATTAAGCCAAAGTCTGAACGGAAGAACTGAAACGACTGAACCATGCCCTAATAGATTGCTTGAGGCCGTATAAGGATTTACGAAGTCTGCCCACCATCCCAGACTTCCCCTGAG